CAATCTAAGTAACATAATAAAAAAATCCCCATCAAAATCCGTCAATTTAAGCTGTTTCTTTGCATGGGCTGTGTCTCAATCCACCGCATCCGCCTATGTCGGCCTTCCGCATCTGGTGTGGAAGTTGCCGAGCTACAGTGGTGTTTGTCAGACCATGACAAATCCTGAAAATGTCTGTAGCTTCTGAACTAATGTGACCCCACTGTGGAAAGGGGATATTCTCAGGGACACGATGTTCTCCGTTTTGCTCAAAGACCCCCACAAGTGCCACTGGACTGGTCTAAAGGTAACTGGTACCGGTTTAAAAAAATAATGGAAGTATAGAGGTAGTTTTATGCCTACCCAAAAAAGGGGTTAAATATGTGTAAAAAAAATAACGTATATACAGTTGAAGTCGGAAGTTTACATACACTTAGGTTGGAGTCATTAGAACTCGTTTTTCAACCACTCCACACATTTCTTGTTAACAAACTATAGTTTTGGCAAGTCGGTTAGGACATCTACTTTGTGCATGACACAAGTCATTTTTCAATTGTTTACAGACAGATTATTTCACTTATAATTCACTGTATCACAATTCCAGTGGGTCAGAAGTTTACATACACTAAGTAGACTGTGCTTTTAAACAGCTTGGAAAATTCCAGAAAACGATGTCATGGCTTTAGAAGCTTCTGATAGGCTAATTGACATCATTTGAGTCAATTGGAGGTGTACCTGTGGATGTATTTCAAGGCCTACCTTCAAACTCAGTGCCTCTTTGCTTGTCATCATGGGAAAATCAAAAGAAATCAGCCAAGACCTCAGAAGAAAAATTGTAGACCTCCACAAGTCTGGTTCATCCTTGGGAGCAATTTCCAAATGCCTGAAGGTACCACGTTCATCTGTACAAACAATAGTACGCAAGTATAAACACCATGGGACCACGCAGCCATCATACCGCTCAGGAAGGAGACGCGTTCTGTCTCCTAGAGATCAACGTACTTTGGTGCGAAAAGTGCAAATAAATCCCAGAACAACAGCAAAGGACCTTGTGAAGATGCTGGAGGAAACAGGTACAAAAGTATCTATATCCACAGTAAAACGAGTCCTATACTGACATAACCTGAAAGGCCGCTCAGCAAGGAAGAAGCCACTGCTCCACAACCGACATAAAAAAGCCAGACTACGATTTGCAACTGCACATGGGGACAAAGATAGTACTTTTTGGAGAAATGTCCTCTGGTCTGATGAAACAAAAATAGAACTGATTGGCCATAATGACCATCGTTATGTTTAGAGGAAAAAAGGGGGTGCTTGCAAGCCGAAGAACACCATCCCAACCATGAAGCACGGGGGTGGCAGCATCATGCTGTGGGGGTGCTTTGCTGCAGGAGGGACTGGTGCACTTCACAAAATAGATGGCATCATGAGGAAGGAAAATTATGTGGACATATTGAAGCAACATCTCAAGACATCAGTCAGGAAGTTAAAGCTTGATCGCAAATGGGTCTTCCAAATGGACAATGACCCCAAGCATACTTCCAAAGTTGTGGCAAAATGGCTTAAGGACAACAAAGTCAAGGTATTGGAGTGGCCAACACAAAGCCCTGACCTCAATCCTATAGAACATTTGTGGGCAGAACTGAAAAAGCGTGTGCGAGCAAGGAGGCCTACAAACCTGACTCAGTTACACCAGCTCTGTCAGCAGGAATGGGCCAAAATTCACCCAACTTATTGTGGGAAGCTTGTGGAAGGCTACCCGAAACGTTTGACCCAAATTAAACAATTTAAAGGCAATGCTACCATTTACTAATTGAGTGTATGTAAACTTCTGACCCACTGGGAATGTGATGAAAGAAATAAAAGCTGAAATAAATCATTCTCTCTACTATTATTCTGACATTTCACATTCTTAAAATAAAGTGGTGATCCTAACTGACCTAAAACAGGGAATTTTTACTAGGATTAAATGTCAGGAATTGTGAAAAACTGAGTTTAAATGTATTTGGCTAAGGTGTATGTAAACTTCCGACTTCAACTGATTTTATTTTGCTTTCTTATATCTCCTAGCTATAGGACAGACACTTCAATACCTTATTCCTTATGATTGATTTTTTGACAGTGTTTTTGGCAATTTATGAATGTGTTATTCAATGTGTTTTAATGGGCTATAGTAGTAAAGGCCAAATTCAATATTTTATCAAATAATGTTTAAATGTTTATTTAGATATTTAAAGGGGTCCTAAAATTCTAAATCAAATAGCTAAATTATCCATGGTATGACCACCATAGAACCCTTTATTTATTTTATATTGGATATTCGGTTTTCTCTTGTCAATAGCTATTGAACCAAGCATGCCATGACTATGGAGATGGTATATTCAGAGGTAGAGGAAAAGTGGGAGGGATAACTTGGCAGGTGCCTTTTTTTCATTTTTTTTGCTCGCCAAGCGAGGAGTTTTTGTATGGAGGTCAATGAGACAGTGTCGAATTTGGTTAACAAAAAACTGAATGGCTTATTTGATCGAATAGAAGTTTGCTAATGATTAGGTTATTACGAGTGTACTGATATAAGCAGGACAACTTTGAGAAAAACAATTGATATTGGAGTTGTCCCTAGTCATAACTAGTTATCACAGCCACAAAGTCATAAACCCCGCCTATTTCTACAATTTATCTTCTTCAAAAATGTGATTTTAAACATTTACATTTTAGTCATTTAGCAGACGCTCTTATCCAGAGCAACTTACATATTTTTTTTTATACTGGCCCCCCGTGGGAATCAAACCCACAACCCTGGCGTTGCAAACACCATGCTCTATCAACTGAGCTACATCCCTGCCGGCCATTCCCTCCCCTACCCTGGACCAATTGTGCGCCGCCCATGAGTCTCCCGGTCGCGGCCGGCTGCGACAGAGCCTGGATTCGAACCAGGATCTCTAGTGGCACAGCCTTAGACCACTGCACCACTCAGGAGACCTAACTGTAACCTTAACCACAGTGCTAACCTTATGCCTAAACATAAATTAAAACCCAAAAGCGAATTTCTGTTTTCATGAATTTTTATGATATAGTTAATTTTGACTTTGGCTGTGGTAACTAGTGATAACCATTGTGCCTGTTGTTCACACCGATATCTGCCATCTCTTGCCTCCTCCTGACTGCCTTCCATTTTTTTATACATTTATTTTCATTGTTAGTGGCAGTATCTGGTGAATATAATGGATAATCTGTGGCTATAGGCAATGAATTCACCTGCCTCTCTTTTTAAATCAAGAACAAAACGTGCACTTTGCAGATGGTCCCTTCTTGGGGAATTGAGAAGGGGGTAGCTGCATCCCAATATGGTGACCGGAGTATGGGCGAGTGGGTGTGTCAAAATAAAAGTAGTAATCTTAAAGGAGATCTCCTTTACTTTGTTGATCACCATAAATTTGTGTGGAGTGAGACAAGCACCGCGCAAGTTCACATCAAACGATGAAGCCCAACAAAATATAGCAGAAGGAATATAATTATTGTAGAAAATAGGCCCCGTGTAACTCAGTTGGTAGAGCATGGCGCTTGCAACGCCAGGGTCGTGGGTTCGATTCCCACGGGGGGCCAGTATGAAGAAAAACAATGTATGGACTCACTAACTGTAAGTCGCTCTGGATAAGAGCGTCTGCTAAATGACTAAAATGTCAAATGAAAATATCCCTTAATAAAAGATTGTTGAATTTCGTATCTAGTAAACCTATGCCATTCACAGCAATATCACTTACAATAGGAGATTTTCCAGAACATGCATTATTCTGTAGTAAAGATTTTATCCCATTAGGTATAGTTGTTTCTTTCAATAAATTATCTCTGTGTTAACAGATTCCTTCTAATACCAACTACTTGGCTGACTAGGACAATGTTGTTTGAGAACCAATTATGGTAATTACGGTATCGACCCATTATTCCATATAAAACATTTATGAGGTGAAAAGTTGTGTTTGTACAGCAAAGCCCAGCACATTAAAAGCCTGCTTGTGAAAAGCCGCCGCTGTCACAGGACCCCCATTCTCCAGTTACCCATCAGGCGGTAACGCCTGAGCTAACTAACTGCGCCTGCGTTGCCCGGAAATGCGGAAGATGAGTTGTCACTGTTGTTGAAGCTGTCAGGCACGTGAGCTGAACTGTGCTACGTCGTCGTGAGTGCTAGCAGGCGATATGGCGGCTGATACTCCTCCCAAGGTACTGAAAATGCACAACTTTTGGAATATCGTTTTTGCGCCTTTACTGTCAGCTTTTTCATATTTAGATGTATCCATCACTAAATGTGGGTGAAGGAGATTATGTTGATACAGACGCTTGATCAGACCCACTTTTTGGTGGTGTCCATCAGCTGTTTTTCTTGCTAAACTAGCTAGCTAGCTAGCTAGCTAGCTATCTTACAGCCCACAACAATGCCACGAAAGCATATAAGTAGATCTCGGTAGTTGAATTTCATGACGCTGTGTGTGTTGTAAATAGCTACGTTACCTGATACTATCAGTTTCCTCTTGCTGGTTGTAAAAAAACAACCATGCGTCGGCCAAGTGACTGCTCGGTTAGCATCTAACGTTAGCTCCTTGCAGGTCTAGGTGCTAACTAGCTAGGTCACCGGCTTGTTGACCTTAGTTCAATTCTCTGGATTCCCTAGCTAGCTAGCTTACTATCTACCCTCCCACTAAAATGACTGCTTTACTTGTCTGTTCTTTCAGATAGGCTCTCCTGACAGATACTATTTAACTAACGGTAACCAATGAACTCGGTGTAGTTTGTGGTGGTGTTTTCAATCAGGATGCTTCAGTGGACATCCTTTTCATAACAACTTTTTGTCTTTAGTGGTGTCTTTTAGTTTTTTGCCAGTGCTCTTGGATTTAACGTTACTATACTGCTAAATACTGTTGTTGGCTAATAGGCTAGTGTATTGAGAAAATATAATGTAGAATGTAAAATAAATTCACCCATTGTTACCATAGCAAATTTTCCTGCTGTAATGTATTTTTCTTCAGGTGTTATTTGAACATGAAGGTGTTTTCATACACTCAAATGAAGACAGTGAAGAGCAAGATCTACTTGTTTCTGGGTTCCTACGGCTCATTGATAAGGTTGATATCAGTTCCTGAGTTGTTGTTGATTGCTTTTCAATTATTGAATTCCAGGGACTTGTATTTATGCTTATTGTGTTTTTAATGATTACCAGGATGGTGAAACTATCGTGGAATACAAACCCTTGGAGGACACTGTTGATCCATCTAACATGCTGTGTGCTGGCAAGGTTTGACATTTCTTTTGGAATGTTTAATTCACCAAAATGCCAACCAATTGTTCAGCACCTTTGTGCAGTGATCGCCATGTAAATTGGAAGGAAAACTGATAATGCATTCAAGATCACAAGTATTAAGGGTATTATCTGACAGAGCTTTACTGAAGATTTGTGTGTATTTGTCAAAATGGTAAACAATGGCTGATGGGGATAGTCTCCACAAACAGCTGCCTTCCAATAACTATTCCATGAACCAACATTCCATAAACATTCTTCATGATTCAGCAAATTCGAGAATTCCAACATTTAGCAACACCTTTCACACATCTGTTTTAAGATTTTAGAATTTGAATGATGATGATGGGTAAAGATCTGACTCATCATGTTATTTACGAGGTGAATCCATTCCATTCCCCCAGGATTCCAGCTCAGTGATGGAGTGGGCCCAGTGTCCCGGGGAGGAGAGGTCGACTCCTCAGCAAGCTGTGGTGGTGGAGCAGCAGAGCTACGAGACTGAGTGGGACATGATCAATGCAGTCTCCTTTCCCAAGAGGAAACCCTGCTGCAACGGAGAGGGTGGGTGGACAATTGGGTGCATTCGTTGTAGCTCACCCGGTGCTGGGTGAGACCAATAGAATGCCTCCTACATGTAACATGAGCTTTGTTCAGATGGGTTCACTCAACACATGAGTTCACTTACAGCAGAAGTTGACTAAGTTGTGGGATTGATATGATATGAAAGAATGAGAATCTCTTGCCAAGGTTTGGGCTTTCCTTTGTCAATCTCCACTATGGTTTATTAAGGACTGAACATAGTTTGAATTGCATGTTGATTCACCAGTTGAGGTCAGAATGAAACTGGATTAATTTCTTTGCTTTCTTCCAGGTGCATTGAACAACACACATGAGAAAAGCAAGTGGGCTTTCACCTTCAGTGTGTGGGACCTGAGGTCTATCACAGTGAAGGAGGAGGGCTGGTCCCGCCTGGTGTTCAGACTGAAGGAGCCCCCCACCTCCCTGCCAGCCCTCCACTTCCACCAAGGGGGTAGTGAAGGCTTCCTGGACTGCCTGAGGAGATACGCCTTGATCACTGAGTGAGTGCTTCAGCGTTCTGGTCAGCTAAACTAGTCCAACTGGTTCTGAAAAATAAGTAGTTATTTGACGATTGATCAATCAATCTAATTGATTTATAAAGCCTTTTTTACATCTGCAGTTGTCACAAAGTACTTTACAGTAGAAACCAAAGAGCCAGCAGAAGTGGTCAGGAAAAAGTCCCCAGTAAAAAACCTAGAGAGGAACCAGGATCAGACATTAATATATTCTGATTCCATTCGTTACCATGGTTATTGCAGATTACATTTTGTTTTTAAGTGGAATCGTGGACGCTAAACGACCTCTGACGATGTTATGTAGGCCAGGTGATGTGACTGTAGTGGGCGCAGTGTGGTGAATCACCAGCAGAGGGATCCTCTGAGCCCATTTGAATCACAGGATTATTATGTTGTTGATTACTACTGTATGTTCTTCCAAAAGCCAGTGAATGGTGCGACAGTGGACAAAGACTCAATATAAAGACACTGTATGAGTGTGTACAGGGCTTGACATGAACTTTTTTTAGCCACTTGTTTTTTTTTACTTGTCCGAAAGCTCAAGTCACTTGTCCAAAAATCTAAAAAGGTCTAACACCATTTTTACATCATTGTATGATGCAAGGAACCACTTTACGAAATAAAATGCATTACTATCTTTTTTTTTACTATAGAGAATCAGACAAAAAATTTGGCTACACTCTGCCCATTGGCTTCTTTGCCTATTCAAGCCTTTCTCAAAATAAAACATTGCTCCTTTTAAGGCTTTCGTGGAGGAAGGGTGGTCCACCTTTAGTAGCCTATAAAATATATTGCAACATTACAATTACAACCAAAAACTTTTTGTCTTTATAAAATATTTCCCTCCAGGGCTCGAAATTAAGGGCATCCCGTCGTATAAAAAAATATATGCCTAAAACAGGTCTGGGACAAATGGAAATGTGGCACTGACTCGCCCATGGATTGATGTTTCAGCATTGTCTCACAGAAGAGTTTGGCGTTCGACCTGCCACGTGTGACATGCACCCGCAGTTACAAGCCTGCTAGAGTTAGCAGCAGACGGATATTGTCTGAGCAATATCCACCGTCATAGTACGGATGAAGCCTGACCTGGAATGTGAAGCTAACTGAAGCTGGCTAGATTTATAAAAGCCTGAGTAGATCTTGCATGCTTCGTTGTATGCCACTCTGGGGTTAATTGGTAGATAGCATTCCTTAAAACTACCCTTCTTCTATGTTTTGGCTCAATAGAGGGGGTTTTCACCACCTGAAACACTGCTGGCTTTTTCATGGGGTTTCTTATCTATATGCTAATGCTAGTGATTTTCATAAGGTCTATAGCAAACGCTTGGTTTTATTTCCTCGTATGTTTTCAGGGCCCCGGATGATGAAACCTGCCTGCTGGTCAGCACTCCCAACAGAGCTCTCTCTCAGTCCTTCGAGAACCTTCTGGATGACAACAACTACGGCCTTGTTACTGTAAGAGGCTACTATTGTCATGCAAATAGTTGTCATAGTGATACATATGGCACTTACCTAGCCTGGTTAACCAGACTGACCGCAGTGCTTACCATGATGTGAAACTATGGTGAGCGTAGTGGTCAGTCATGATAAGACATGTTTTCCCTTACAGAAGCTGAAGAATGATCCGTACACGACGACCCTGGGGGGCTTCTCCAAGGTCACCAACTACATCTTCGATGCGTTCCGTGGCCCAGAGCTGGAACAGCAGCAGCGCCCCCCGGAGGAGGTGGCTGACCTGGACATCCTTGGACTGGGAGAGGTCATCCCTGGCCTGGAGATCAACCAGCAGGAGGAGCCGGGCTTCGAGGTCATCACCAGGGTGAGTGGATGGAGAGTGTGACGTAGGAGCACCTCGGCCGTGACCCCTGGCACCCCAAGATGCTGTGGGGATCTGAAAGGGAAGAAACAGGCCAACCGTCCTACTTGGAGAGCTACTGAGTGTTCAGGCTTGTTCCAGATGTAGTACAGTAGGGCTGTTGTTGTGAGGTGTGTTAGAGTAGGCTGGGACACATTACATTTTTAACTGCCCTTTTCTGATAAAAACGAGTTCATTGCATCCGCCATGGAGCCCAGTTTCATAATATTACCATATGTCCCAGCTGCCTTGCCGTAGTTTTGAAGTAATCGCCTATTAGTTCTATTGAGCACCGTGGCACCAACTCGCCTTCCTAACATTCTATTCCCAGCCCATTGTTCTGCGTCACAATGCCAGCTTCGCTATTGTTAGCAATGAGACCTGCCCGCGTTAACCTTGAAGGCTTACCTCAGGTAACTTGTTATTAACAAGGTTACGGGTACTTGGTGAGCGATCTCACTGTTCGCCTTGGTACACGTTGTGGTGACCCACAGTGCTAGAGATGGCTGGCGCATAGCCATCAAAATCTGTTTGATTGTAAGCATGGAATTGAGCGAATGCTGTGCTGGTTCACTGAGTTGCAAACCAAATGGATAGGTCTAGCTCATTGATTTGTAGATCTGATGCAGTTGCTACCTCAGATTATGAGCCTAGCAAGTGTTGCGAATGAGGTTTGTAGTACCCGCAGAAGGCCACAGGGAGAAGCAGGAGAGCTATAAACCCATACTGTTTTTGCCTTAAAAACCCTAACCCTAGGTATAACCTGATTTAGCCTTAACCCTAACCCTGAACGGATAGTAACCCTAGCCACAACCCTAATTCTAGGGTAGGGTAGCCTAGAAAACTTTAGTGAAGACATCAAAACTATGAAATAACACATATGGAATCATGTAGTAACCAAAAAATAAGACCAATCCATATTATGGCAAGAACAGCTCAAATAAGCAAAGAGAAATGACAGTCCATCATTACTTTAAGACATGAAGGTCAGTCTTACTCTACAATGTAGAAAATAGTAAAAATAAAGAAAAACCTTGAATGAGTAGATGTGTCCAACCTTTTGACTGGTAGTGTACATGCATACAGAAAGTATTCAGACCCCTTTTCATTTTCCACATTTGTTACGTTACAGCCTTATTCTAAAATTGATTAAATAGTCCCCCCCCCCCCCCTCATAAATCTACACACAATACCCCATAATGACAAAGCAAAAACAGGTTTTTAGACATTTTTTTACAAATTTATAAGAACAAAAAAACTGATTTTGGGGAGTTTCTCTCATTCTTCTCTGCAGATCCTCTCAAGCTCTGTCAGGTTGGATGGGGAGTGTCGCTGCACAGCTATTTTCAGGTCTCTCCAGAGATGTTCGATCAGGTTCAAGTCCAGGCTCATTATGGGGTATTGTGTGTAGTTTGAGGGAAAAAAATACAATTTAATCAATTTTAGAATAAGGCGTAACAAAATGTGGAAAAAGTCAAAGGGTCTGAATACTTTCCGAATGCACTGTATGTCTATATATTTAGATTTATTTTCAAGTCAGACATTGTTTTAATCAGGAGAATCTCCTCTTTGTAATGATGTAAGGCTGGGCAGCGTACTCCGTTGTCATCAAAAGCTAGCATTTAAAATGTCAAAAATTACACATTACTGTTGCAACTAACTCTAAAGGCTGCACCATTGTTTCCCTATGGGAAAATTCTACACGGACATGTCTGTCTATTTCAAATTATTTAAGGCTGGGCAGCGTACTCATCAAACGCTAGCCCCAAAATACTTTTTGCTTTTTGAACTTTGAGCTCCCCCTATTGTATCTCACAATGGTTATATTTACAATCTTTTCAAGTCTGACACCGTTTTAATCAGGATAATCTCCTTTTTCTAATGACATAAGGTTGGGCAGAAGTGTTTACTTTCTACATGACTTGTTATTTTTCAGTTTCGTCCTAAAAACAGATTGTAGTGGTAAAATAAAAGGGTAGAAATGTTTTGGCGTCACTCCAGTCAGAAGGGGCTCAGCGGCGTTTCGTTTCAATTAGTTTGCGATGGCCTCGCGCTAGTGTTCCAGCTCAGCCAATGTTCTTTGGCCGTTTTTCAGCCTTGAATTTTGACTCATTCTATTGTCCAGCCTAGTTAGAGCAGAGTTTAATCAAAAGTCTGGACACCCAGTAACTCTTCAGGAGGAGGCTTGGCCAACCCTGGTCTAGTGCCTATGAATGGTTTCTCCGACCGTAGGTGTCGGTTTCTCTGACAGTGGTATCGGTTCTGTCTGTCTTCAGCTGGAGTTTGTCTTTTAACATGCTTACAGTGCAGAAGAGTGCATGGTCTTATTGGTTAGTGATTTGTTTGTCTCAGATCGACCTGGGAGCCAGGCCAGAGGTAACGAGGAGGCAGCCACTGTCTGCAGAGGACTGGGCTGAGAACCAGGAGAAGGAAGGAAGGATGAAAAATGTCCCTCGCCTTAAGAAAATCATATTCAAAGGGGTATGTTGAATTTATGGGGTTAAAGCACCTTCTCCAGTGAAACTCTCTGGGCTGGTTTCCCAGACACAGATTAAGCCTAGTCCTGGACCAAAATTACCTTTCAATGGAGCATCTCTATTGAACTGACATGCTTTTTAGTCCCGGACTTTATATAATCTGTGTCTCGGGAAACTGGCTCTCTGTGTATATTCGTTTGTAGTAACTATAAATTCTGGGTTTGTCCGTAAAGTTCCTCTAAATAATGTCTTGATCCTGCAGGGTTTGTGCCATGCGGTGAGGAAAGAGGCCTGGAAGTTTCTGCTGGGGTATTTCCCCTGGGACAGCACCTACGAGGAGAGGAAAGGCCTACAGAGGAGGAAAACGTATGTGTGCTTCAACAAGACAGACATTATATTTGAAGCAGCCATGTTTTTATAACAAATGTATTATCACTAATCAAAGTGGCCAACGTGGTCTTACAATGAAGGTCAGCCTTTTTTGACATTTGCCTTTGTTAACCAGCAGAGCCATATGCTAATATAAGATGAGTAAACTGTCCTTCTGAGGCGTTTTCTTTTTGTTTTCTCCCTGGTGAATAAGGGATGAGTACTTCAGGATGAAGCTCCAGTGGAAGTCGGTGAGTGAGGAGCAGGAGAGGAGGAACTCCAGGTTAAGAGACTTCAGGAGCCTGATAGGTAAATGTCGATCCCATTCACCCTGTTGTCTTATCAGGCTGTTCCAGCCAGAGACAACAGTACAGACATTACCAATTTGGTCGCACTTGACTAAACATGTTGCTGTGCGACTAGTACTTTTATTTTGGGAGCACCATGCGTCAACCAAAAAAATCCTATAAAGAAAACTTGATGCATAACAATATTTCACCACAACTCTCTTCTCTTCACTGCTCAAACAAGACAGGCTGATACATTGTTTACAAATCATAACCAATCATAATGCTACAAATTCTTAAATGTAGCTAATTAAACCAATCACACACCAGGCACAACCAATCCCTTTTTGCGCAAACTTTCCCTCCAGAACTGTGCAGCCCCTGTTTGGCAGCTCTGTAATGGCATTAGCTAGCAAGATAAACAACTAAAATGAAACGCGGTGGAATTTAAGCTTTCTCTAACAAAAAACGAATTATGAAAATTACCAACGGGAAGAAGATGATGCTAACGATCGACCTCGTCTGAAAAAGATCTACACTGAACAAAAATATAAATGCAACAATTTCAAAGAGTTACAGTTCATATAAGGAAATCAGTCAATTTAAATAAATGAGGCCCTAATCTATGGATCTCACATGACTGGGAATACAGATATGCATCTGTTGGTCACAGATACCTTAAAAAAAATAAAAAGTAGGGGCGTGGATCAGAAAACCAGTCAATATCTGGTGTGACCACCATTTGCCTCATGCAGCGCGACACATCTCCTTCGCATAGAGTTGATCAGGCTGTTGATTGTGGAATGTTGTCCCACTCCTATTCAATGGCTGTGCAAAAATGCTTGATATTGTAGGGAACTGGAACACCCTGTCGTACACGTCGATCCAGAGCATCCCAAACGTGCTCAAAGGGTAACATGTCAGGTGAGTATGCAGGCCATGGAAGAACTGGGACATTTTCAGCTTCCAGGAATTGTGTACAGATCCTTACGACATGGGGCCGTGCATTATCATGCTAAAACATGAGTTGATGGCGGCAGATGAATGGCACTATAATGAGCCTCAGGATCTCGTCACGGTATCTCTGTGCATTAAAATTGCCATTGATAAAATGCAGTTGTGTTCATTGTCCGTAGCTTATGCCTGTCCATACCATAACCCCACCGCCACCATGAGGCATTCTGTTTACAACTTTGACATCAGCAAACCGCTCGCCCACACAACGCCATACAAGCTGTCTGCCATCTGCCCGGTACAGTTGAAACCAGGATTAATCCGTGAAGAGCACACTTCTCCACCGTGCAAGTGGCCATCGAAGGTGAGCATTTGCCCACTGAAGTCGGTTACGACGCCAAACTGCAGTCAGGTCAAGACCCTCGTGAGGACGATGAGCACACAGATGAGCTTACCTACGACGGTTTCTGACTGTTTGTGCATAAAGTCTTCGGTTGTGCAAACCCACAGTTTCATCAGCTGTCCAGGTGGCTGGTCTCAGACCATCCCGCAGGTGAAGAAGCCGGATGTGCTGGTCCTGGGCTGGCGTGGTTACACGTGGTCTGCAGTTGAGGCCGGTTGGACGTACAAATTCTGTAAAACAACATTGGAAGCAGCTTATGGTAGAGAAATGAGCATTTAAATTCTCTGTAGTCAGCATGACAATTGCACACTCCCTCAACTTGAGACATCTGTGGCATTGTGTTGTGTGACGACAACTGCACATTTTAGTGGCCTTTTATTGTCCCCAGCACAAGGTGCACTTGTGTAATGATCATGCTGTTTAATCAGCTTCTTGATATGCCACACCTGTCAGGTGGATGGATTGTCTTGGCAAAGGAGAGATGCTCACTAACAGGGGTGTAAACACATTTATGCACAAAATTTGAGCTAAATATGCTTTTTGTACCTTTGGAAGATTTCTGGGATATTTTATTTCAGCTCATGAAACATGGGACTAAAACTTTAAATAAGTGGTCACCAACCAGCCCACTGGTTGATCTCCAAGGCATTCCTAGTCCGTCACCAAACATTTATGTAAAAAAAACAGAAAATAAAGCCTATTTTTTTATTGAATGAATTTTTTCATGATTCAGCAGCCCTAGCGCCGGGAAGGAAAAGTGTTCCCAGAACTCTGCCTACCCGGCAGACCCAGAGTGCAAATCAAGTGCACCTATAAGCCTACCGCTGGCCAATCAAGTAGCTCAGATCACCGCGTCGGCACAGTTTCCTTGAGCCATTGACTGTAAAAAGAAGCCTTGAACGCACAGCAAAGTTGATACTCTTGAGATTTCTAAACTTTTAAAACCATGACTAGACTCAATGACTACAGCAAAAAGCTGCTGTTTTTATGAGTAAGTTCATGTTGAAGTTGTTATTCAGTACTGTCAACACTTTGTTCAACACCTTTATAAGATTTATAAGCCACCAGCACTGCAGCTGCAATGAATGAGTATAGCAAAGTGTTCCGATAAGCTTGCATTGTTATTATTAGCGGCAATATTACACTTTCTCAGGTCATAGGAGTAGCAACATTAATTGGTGCATGAGGCAGAAATAATGCTGTGCGACTTGAGTTTCTCCATAAACTGGACGACTGTGGCCCCTTTTCTCAGCGGAGGGAAGGAGGTCACTGCTGATCCCTCCCTCCCCTCAGACTGACCATCAGATGCAGGCCATCAGTTCAGTAAAACATTTTTTTAAAGTAAATATTATGCTCACTTAGCTGTGCCTCACAAGTAATACAACAAAGTATCAATTACCAGTTTGATAATATACCTAAATGTTTTAAATATAATTTCAAAATGGTCGGAGAAGAACAACATTGTCAGGGCAATTCCAGCATAGCCAATATGCAGTGATAATGTATTGGGCATACAGTGGGGAGAACAAGTATTTGATACACTGCCGATTTTGCAGGTTTTCCTACTTACAAAGCATGTAGAGGTCTGTACTTTTTATCATAGGTACACTTCAACTGTGAGAGAGGGAATCTATAACAAAATCCAGAAAATCACATTGTATGATTTTTAAGTAATTAATTTGCATTTTATTGCATGACATAAGTATTTGATACATCAGAAAAGCAGAACATAATATTTGGTACAGAAACCTTTGTTTGCAATTACAGAGATCATACGTTTCCTGTAGGTCTTGACCAGGTTTGCACACACTGCAGCAGGGATTTTGGCCCACTCCTCCATACAGACCTTCCCCAGATCCTTCAGGTTTCGGGGCTGTCGCTGGGCAATACGGACTTTCAGCTCCCTCCAAAGATTTTCTATTGGATTCAGGTCTGGAGACTGGCTAGGCCACTCCAGGACCTTGAGATGCTTCTTACGGAGCCACTCCTTAGTTGCCCTGGCTGTGTGTTTCGGGTCGTTGTCATGCTGGAAGACCCAGCCACGACCCATCTTCAATGCTCTTACTGAGGGAAGGAGGTTGTTGGCCAAGATCTCGCGATACATGGCCCCATCCATCCTCCCCTCAATACGGTGCAGTTGTCCTGTCCCCTTTGCAGAAAAGCATCCCCAAAGAATGATGTTTCCACCTCCATACTTCACGGTTGGGATGGTGTTCTCGGGGTTGTACTCATCCTTCTTCTTCCTCCAAACACGGCGAGTGGAGTTTAGACCAAAAAGCTATATTTTTGTCTCATCAGACCACATGACCTTCTCCCATTCCTCCTCTGGATCATCCAGATGGTCATTGGCAAACTTCAGACGGGCCTGGACATGCGCTGGCTTGAGCAGGGGGACCTTGCGTGCGCTGCAGGATTTTAATCCATGACGATTGTAGTGTGTTACTAATGGTTTTCTTTGAGACTGTGGTCCCAGCTCTCTTCAGGTCATTGACCAGGTCCTGCCGTGTAGTTCTGGGCTGATCCCTCACCTTCCTCATGATCATTGATGCCCCACGAGGTGAGATCTTGCATGGAGCCCCAGACCGAGGGTGATTGACCATCATCTTGAACTTCTTCCATGTTCTAATAATTGCGCCAACAGTTGTTGCCTTCTCACCAAGCTGCTTGCCTATTGTCCTGTAGCCCATCCCAGCCTTGTGCAGGTCTACAATTTTATCCCTGATGTCCTTACACAGCTCTCTGGTCTTGGCCATTGTGCAGAGGTTGGAGTCTGTTTGATTGCGTGTGTGGACAGGTGTCTTTTATACAGGTAACGTGTTCAAACAGGTGCAGTTAATACAGGTAATGAGTGGAGAATAGGAGGGCTTCTTAAAGTAAAACTAACAGGTCTGTGAGAGCCGGAATTCTTACTGGTTGGTAGGTGACCAAATACTTATGTCATGCAATAAAATGCAAATTAATTACTTAAAAATCATACAATGTGATTTTCTGGATTTTTGTTATAGATTCCCTCTCTCACAGTTGAAGTGTACCTATGATAAAAAGTACAGACCTCTACATGCTTTGTAAGTAGGAAAACCTGCAAAATCGGCAGTGTATCAAATACTTGTTCTCCCCACTGTATAGCCTACTGCAAACCTTGCTACAGAACTGTTTTTAATTGGTTCATGTTGCGTAGGCTTATGCTTTTTAAGTTAAACAAATCTGAGCGGTAGATCTCTGCTTGCATTTTGACTCAAAGGGATCTTGACTCAGAAAAGGTTGATGACCACTGCTTTACATGTTGCATTTATATTATTTGTTCAGTGTACATGTTTTGAGAGGGGTTGCTTCACGAATTCAAGTGGTTAAGGAGGGACAAAACTAGCAGCACAATGTTCTGTGAGTCGAAAGTGTGGAGTAATAGCAGCAGGGAGGACTTATTTAGCAACCTAAAACACGAGTTGTTGCTAAAACAAGCCAAAAGCACATCAAGTGCCACGACAAGTGCATCAGGGCAGTGGCAGGAGCAACATCACTACGTCTACTACCAGGTTTTTACCAAATTCAGACCCATGCTACTTACCCAGAAAAATAATGGATTACAAATCAACCCGACATGGAAACAGTGTCCTGCGCAAACGTTATTGGCACCATCGCAGAGACTATCCGGGAAGCGGGTTAGTGCTATCCGGAATCCTTGGAATGTCCCTACCCTTACCCTATTTATTAGCTAGATTCTCGATCAAAGAAATTGACTAGTTGTTGTGAGAGGAGATTAAACATTTATTTAATTATCCAAGTATAAGTTCATAGTCAGCATGTTGCCTTGTTAAAACATTATTATTACCTACATAGTTGTATTATTATTATCTGTTAGCTGAATACAGTAATGGATAACAATTTAGTTTGCAGTTGCACTTTTAAATACAATGGTTGTTTATCACCTATATAAATGTTTGCTGTTGCACTTTTGAATACAATACATTTTCTATATTACATTTGTTTGTCCAAAACTAATCAGTTTCCTACAGTGCATTTGTAAAAGTATTCAGACCCCTTGAATTTTTCCACATTTTGTTACATTACCTTATTCTAAAATGGATTCAACTGTTTTTTTCCCTCATCAATCTACACACAATACCACATAATGACAAAGCAAAAACCAGGTTTTTAGACATTTTAGCAAAGAAAAAAAAAATGGGAAATTACATTTACATAAGTATTCAGACCCTCTACTCAGAACTTTGTTGAAGCTCATTTAACAGCGATAACTGCCTCGAGTCTTCTTGGGTATGACTCTAGAAGCTTGGCACACCTGTATTTGGGGAGTTTCACCTATTCTTCTCTGCAGATCCTCTCAAGCTCTGTCAAGTTGGCTGGGGAGCATCGCTGCACAGTTATTTTCAGGTCTTTCCAGAGATGTTAGATCGGGTTCAAGTCTGGACTCTGTCTGGGCCACTCAAGGACATTCAGAGACTTGTACCTAAGCCACTCCTGCGTTGTCTTGGCTGTGTGCTTAGGGTCGTTGTCCAGGTTGGAAGGTGAACCTTCGACCCAGTCTGAGGTCCTGAGCGCTCTGGAGCAGGTTTTCATCAAGGGTCTCTTTGTACTTTGCTCTGTTCATCTTTCCCTCGATGCTGACTAGTCTCCCATTTCCTTCCGCTGAAAAACATTCCCACAGCATGATGCTGCCACCACAATGCTTCACCATAGGGATGGTGCCAGGTTTCCTCCAGACGTGACGCTTGGCATTCAGGCCAAAGAGTTCAATCTTGGTTTCATCAGACCAGAGAATCTTGTTTCTCATGGCCTGAGAGTCCTTTAGGTGCCTTTTGGCAAACTCCAAGCGGGCTGTCAAGTGCCTTTTTACTGAGGAGTGGCTTCTGTCTGGCCACTCTAACATAAAAGCCTGATTGGTGGAGTGCTGCAGAGATGGTTGGCCTTCAGGAAGGTTCTCCCATCTACACAGAGGAACTCTGGAGCTCTGTCAGAGTGACCATCAGGTTCTTGGTCACCTCCCTGTCCAAGGCCTTTCTCCCCCGATTGCTCAGTTTGGCTGGGCTGCCAGCTCTAGGAAGAGTCTTGGTGGTTCCAATCTTCTTCCATTTAAGAATGATGGAGGCTACTGTGTTCTTGGGGACCTTCAATGCGGCATAATTTTTTTGGTACCCTTCCCCAGATCTGTGCCTCGACACAATCCTGTCTTGGAGCTCTACGGACAATTCCTTCAACCTCATGGCTTGGTTTTTGCAGTGACATGCACTGTCAACTGTGGGACCTTTATATAGACACGTGTGTCCCTTTCCAAATCATGTCCAATCAATTGAATTTACCACAGGTGGACTCCAATCAATTTGTAGAAACATCTCAAGGATGATCAATGGAAACAGGATGCATCTGAGCTCAATTTCTAGTCTTATAGCGAAGGGGCTGAATACTTATGTAAATAAGGTATTTATGTTTTTATTTTTAATACATTTGCAAAAATGTCTACAAACCTGTTTTCGCTTTGTCATTATGGGGTATTATGTGTAGATTGATGATAATTAAAATAAAATAATAATCAATTTTAGAATAAGGCTGTAACGTAACAAAATGTGGAAAAGGGGAAGGGGTCTGAATACTTTCCGAATGCCCTGTATGTAAATATGTTTGCAGTTGCACTTTGAATACAATTATTAAAAGTTGTTTTATTCTAATGTCTTGCCCACTCTCTAGTGATGCGTTCTACATCATCAAGGTAACAACTGATGACAATTAAGAATGCTAGGACAGTCATTTGCAGTAAAAAAACAAAAACCTTTTCTGGTGCTCCTTACTTTTTAAGTTCTAAGCACCAGTGCTACCAATGAAAAGTTAATTTAGAACCCTGATTACATGTTAATCCTGTTTTAGCAATAATGGTGGCGATTTATGTATTGCCTTTTGTCTGTTTTATCTCTTACTGAGTTAGTTTTACTGTAAAGTGTGTGTTGAATTTTAAATTCTTTAGATTAAGTTTGATTAGAGAATATTCAGCTTTGAGGAAGCATCTGTGTAATGCCTCTGTTATCATGGTGTGTCCTTCCTGAAATAGGCTAAATATGGTTGTTTATTTATCATCTGTGAATGTCTTGTCTTCTCAGAGAAGGATGTGAACAGAACAGACCGAACCAACAGGTTCTATGAGGGCATAGACAACCCAGGCCTGGTGTTACTCCATGACATCCTGATGACGTATTGCATGTATGATTTTGATCTGGGTAAGTGATAGCATTATTGCCAAGTCGTACAGCAGAAATCATCATTTATGTCTGATTTAAAAGGTCATCTGATTGGCATAGATTCTATTGAAGTCCCTTATTGAGGATAATAAATTGTTGCAATTCACCCGTAGTAACATAGCTAATTCAGCAACCACAGCTGATAACTGCATATCAGTGGGATTTGTAATGCTCACCTTAATTAACGTTGTGGGAATTATACTCGTCTCCAGGGTATGTCCAGGGAATGAGCGACCTCCTCTCCCCGATTCTCTATGTGATGGAGAACGAGGTGGATGCCTTCTGGTGTTTTGTCTCCTTCATGGATCAAATGGTAAGAAATCTATCATTGTTTTGTCTAGTGCTGTTTTTGTGTGTGTTTTTGACTTGTTTTATGTTTCCTTTGATATGCCTGAGTGTGCTGTTTTTCTGACCTGACGTGTCCGTGCGCCTGTGTCTGTCTCCGTGTGCAGCACCAGAACTTTGAGGAGCAGATGCAAGGCATGAAGACTCAACTGATCCAGCTCAGCACTCTGTTGAGGCTGCTTGGACCTGTCCTTCTGGAACTACCTCGGTACCTAACAACACCTGCTCTCCCTCTAACATTCACCTCTTTATGTTCAGCTTTTTTTTTATCATTATAATTTACAAATGAAGCCGTAAAGATTGAGGTAAATCCTTAAACAGATTCTCAATCAATACAGCAGTCTTGCATATACAGTGCCTTCAGAAAGTTGTCATACCACTTGACTTATTCCACATTTTGTTACAGCCTGAATTCTAAATTGATTATTTTTACCCTCACCCATCTAAACACAATACCCCATAATGACAAAGTAAAAATGTGTTTTTAGACATTTTTGCACATTTATTGAAAATGAAATACAGGCGGCCTCCCGAGTGGCGCAGCGGTCTAAGGCACTGCATCGCAGTGTTGTGGGGTTACTACAGCCTGGGGTTAAAAAAAACATAATTTACATAAGTATTCACACCCCTGAGTCAATACTTTGTAGAAGCACCTTTGGCAGCGATTACAGCTGTGAGTCTTTCTGGGTAAGTCTCAAAGAGCTTTCCACACCTGGATTGTGCAACTTTTGCCCATTATTTTCAAAATTCTTCAAGCTCTGTCAAATTGGTTGTTGATCATTGCTAGACAACCATTTTCAGGTCTTGCCATAGATTTTCAAGTAGATTTAAGTAAAAACTAACTCGGCCACTCAGGAACATTCACTGTCTTCTTGGTAAGCAACTCCAATGTAGGTTTGGCCTTGTGAAAGGTTGTCCTGCTGAAAGGTGAAATGTGAATTAATCTCCCTGTGTCTGGTAGATAGCAGACTGAACCAGGTTTTCCTCTAGGATTTTGTCTGTGCTTAGCTCCCTTTCGTTTCTTTTTTATCCTGAAAAACTCCCCAGTCCTTAACAATTACAAGCATACCCATAGCATGATGCAGCCACCACTATGCTTAAAATATGGAGAGTGGTACTCAGTAATGAGTTGTATTAGATTTGCCCCAAACAGAACACTTTGCCAAATTTTTTGCAGTAGTACTTTAGTGCTTTGTTGCAAACAGGATCAGGGCCTAAAATCACCACCCACCACCTGTCAAATGCGGGTAGATTTTGGCATTGGCGGGTAAGATGTTTACTTCACTAGCCACATTGGCGGGTGGTCAGGGCTCCACAGTCCGAGCATTTCACTCGCATTTGTGAATAAAAATAGTCAAGTATGATCACATTTATAATAAAATAAATGCTGCGGAAGCTGTTTTCAAAGTATTTCTGCCGTTTTTGTTTCATAGCTGGTAAAATATTAGCACAAAGTCAGAACTACAAATCCTATATAGCCTATCCCACCTCGTGCTACAACACTGCCTGGCTGGGGGCGCACGTGAAGAGCTGAGTGAAATATTCATTTTTAGAAGCGCTGCGCACAGGCATTAAATTCGGTCTAATTTACTTGAAACTAAAGTCTACTGAAGTGAGACTTTGTCCTTGTGTTTCTTGGCTATTTACATTGTTTTGGCCACAAGCTAGGTTATGTTTTCAATGTTTGAGTTTCAACTGCTAGGGAAGAGAAGACAATGCTTCTACTAGTCCGACACAATCTCACAGGCACAAACATGACAAGTCATGTTACCACGGCAACATTCCGCACTTAAAGGGGCAGGTGAAGATTTGTCTCATCTGTGATATTTTGGTTAAAAGACTGGTCACAAAAATGTAATTAAACAATATACCATATTACTTCTTACTAGTAATATATTTATTGTTTTAGAAACATTACAAAGAATGCTAATCTGTTTTGTTGGTGTAATTTTAGCGGGAGAAAAATATTTTGGCTGGTAAGAATTCTGAGTTGATGGTAGAGTTTTTTTTAAAATCTACCTGCCACAGTGGCTGGTGGACCAAAAAGTCAATTTTAGGCCCTGAACAGGATGCATGTTTTGGAATATTTTTATTCTGTACAGGCTTTCTTCTTTTACTCTGTCATTTAAGTTAGTGTTGTGGAGTAACTACAATGTTGTTGATCCATCCTCAGTTTTCTCCCATCACAGCCATTAAACTCTGTACCTGTTTTAAAGTCACCATGGCCTCATGGTGAAATCCCTAAGTGGTTTCCTTTCTCTCCTGCAACTCAGTTAGGAAGTACGCCTGTATCTTTGTATTGACAGGGTGTATTAATACACCATCCAAAGTATAATTAATAACTTCACCAAGTTCAAAGGGATATTCAATGTCTGCTTTTCTTTTTAAAAATTTACCCATCTAACAATAGGTGCCCTTCTTTGCGAGGCATTGGAAAACCTCCCTGGTCTTTGTGTTTGAATCTGTGTTTGAAATGCACTACTCGACTGAGGGACCTTACAGATAATTATATGTGTGGGGTACAGAGATGAGGTAGTCATTCAGAAATCATGTTAAACATTATTATTGCACAGTGAGTCCATGCAACTTATGTGACTTGTTAAGCAAATTTGTTGAACTTATTTAGGCTTGCCATAACAAAGGAGTTGAATACTTATTGACTCAAGACATTTCAGCTTTTCATTTTTAATGAATTTGTAAAAATGTTGAAAAAAGACAATTCCACTTTGACATTATGTGTAGGCCAGTGACACGAATCTCAATGTAATCCATTTTAAATTCAGGCTGTAACACAACAAAATGTGGAAAAAATCAAGGCATGTGAATACTTCCTGAAGGCACTGAAATTCAAATTCAACAACATTCATTTCATCCTTGGTTTCATCTGATTTCTCCTCTGTGTTTTGGTTCCTCCAGAGTCGCAGGATTCAGGTTACCTGTATTTCTGTTTCCGGTGGTTACTGATCCGCTTCAAGAGGGAGCTCAGTTTTCCAGATGTTCTTCGTATGTGGGAGGTGAGTTCTGTTCTGTCCATATAACTTTGACCTATTAGCTTAAGTATCTCTTTTGTCATTTAGGGGGAAATCCATTTCAGTCTCTTGCTCTTGAGATTTGATTGATTCAAGTTGATGATTTTATTACTTTTTCTTTTTGAGTTCATGATTTATCTTTGCATTCTGATAGTTCTTCTTAATAAGACTTCCTGGTTCTGCTTAGGTCATATGGACTGGCTTGCCCTGCCAAAACTTCCATTTGCTGGTGTGCTGTGCCATCCTAGACTCAGAGAAACTGAAAATCATGGAGGAAAACTATGGCTTCAATGAGATCCTCAAGGTAACAGCAGTCATTTGCTGATTGACTGGTTTGTCAGTTGAAAAATTATATCAGACATTTTCAAGAACGGTTGTTTGGAGTGTTTCCAAGTGAATTAGTTTTAAATGTCATTGTTTTGAATGTTAATCCAGCACATCAATGAACTCTCAATGAAACTGGACATTGAAGAAATCCTTCACAAATCAGAGGCTATTTGTATGCAGATCAGAAGTTGTAAGGTATGTTGAAAGATGTAATTTTGTACTATCAATTAAAAGTCCATAAGAGTTAATTAAAACAAACTATGCAGGTTCAGAATTACATATAGGTTACATATTGGTTGTATATAATCTACATACTCTTATTTTCTTTCCTTTCAGGATTTGCCTCATTCAATAATTGAGATCCTGGGATTCAACACAGAAAGCGAACTTCCCAGATTAGAAGGGCGGGTGTTTGGGACTCCTCTTGATTCTCCTCAGTCCCCCAGACCCACACAGAGGCAGGAGGTCTTCTCTAATGGTCACAATGGACATTACAGAGAACCCCCTCATAACGGCTGCAAAGTCACTTTCATATCATAGTGAACAATATCATTCACACAGAGACTTTGCAATGTCCACATACCAGAAAGAGTATTTTGGATTCAGTTATTGGATAAGTTGATAACTGAAGCCAGCTTATCAAGGCCCTAATAAGAAGAGAAAGTAATGTAAAAAGGATTTAATATTATTCAAATTTTATTATTTTTGTAATTTCTTGTATCATATTGTCTTTCATTGAAATAGTAAGTTGAATGCACCAATTTGTAAGTCGCTCTGGATAAGAGCGTCTGCTAAATGACTTAAATGTAAATGTAAGTAATTCTTCCTTGCTAAGGTTTTTTTGTAAAGACTGGCAAGGTGAGTTTTCATTTGTAAAGTAATAATATGCTGTTTTTATTTAAACTATAACCTTTTTCCTGAATCACGCACACAAGTTTTCAAATCCTAGGATTTAAATGTTGATTGATTCACGTTTGAAAAACAAACAACTACTTTTATCAAGATCTAGCCAGGTATCAATTTGGTAGTAAATGACAAAAGCACTGTAAAATGTTTTGTCACAATAAGACACTTTTCAAATTGAAAATGTGAAAAACAAAACAACTCAAGAACATCTCCCTGAATCAAAATAAAAGTATAGCCTTTAGTTGTGTAATCATACTCCAGTACTAATGTGTTACTTTGGTCTGAGATTTGACATTTTCCTATTGAGGGAAGATGTATTTTCCACACTCATTTCCTATATATTTAAAACCCTGTTAGAGAAAATGTGGGCACACCTCCATCACTCATACACGGTCCTGTAAGACTTCCTTTGACCATATTTGGCAAAAACAAAATGTCAATGTATTGTTTTCTCCAAAATATCAATGATATTATAATTTGGTAACTGTTTATACCGTACTTTATTTAATACTATATTTTGCTTGTTTTCCAACATATTGAATTGAGGACTGTGTATCTGGCCCAGGAAGGAAACGATAGAGTTCCTCGGAATTCGTTCAGTTCAGGAAATAAACTCTAACTCTTCTGGTCTTGTATATGGTTTACACTGTTACATGTGTTGTCATTTCCCAACTTTCGTAGCCAAATGACTAAGAAGAGTATGTCTTTGTACTGTTTTCATTATGGTGTAAAACAACAGTTTAAATACTATTTTTAGTCATTTGGATACACCTTTCCCATCTCATTGTTTGAAAATGCACTCGACTTTAGATTAAGAATAAATCTCCATCTTTCCTTTTGCAGTTGCTTGGAAATTACAAGTTTAATTGGATGAATGTACAGTAGTGTTCAGGCACTGATAACAGAGCAGTTTTCTATTTCCTATCTATTTACAAGAACCGTTTCCTGTCACTTTAGGCATTAGTCCCCTGTCCTAATTCACATGGGGACATAGCTGTTGTGTTCTTGGTTTCCAGAATACCTCAATAATATAATAATAATAATAATATGCCATTTAGCAGAAGCTTTTATCCAAAGCGACTTACAGTCATGCGTGCATACATTTTTTTTACGTATGGGTGGTCCCGGGGATCGAACCCACTACCCTGGCGTTACAAGCGCCATGCTCTACCAATTGAGCTACCACCTACTGGATTTTAAGCACTCTTCCATAATGCCAGCTACCTGCATTAGCCTTTGTCTCCAATGTTTACATGGTAAACACCCTTTTGTCTTCAAATGTCTTCCTCCAATCATTCATTAAGTTGTGTAGAAATGTCACACTGTGGGCCAGAGACATTTTCAGTTATTTCACTGCTGCATGAAGTATTCAAGCCAATTTATGCTTGCTCTGGCAGTGTGATCCGGAGGCTCCGTATGGAGGGTTTGACGCAATTGTGGAGGCCAAATCGAGCTCCGTACCGCATCGCCGTGCGCCTCCCAGATTTTGTAACAATGCGGAGGGCTCCGTATAGCTCCACATTGACATGATTGGTTGACTGTAGGTGGGGGTGGGAAGTCCTGTATAAACACAAACTTACTTCCTTGACAACAGCTCTGCTCTGCGAAGCACAATAATTATGAATGCTCTGACTTCTGCGGAGGCCGCATCGCAGTATATGCTGTAAAGCCACTGCAGACTTCGGATTGACCATGCAGAGCCTTTTAACCTACCCCACAACTTCTCCCTGAATCCCTCATAATTCCACTTAAAATGCAGGCATGCATGGCTTCCAAATGGCATTTTGCCCCATTCAAATCTAATGGATGTCAGGACGTGACTTTCTTCAGCCTTGGTGACAGTTTTTAGAAATGCCTGGGTCTTTGATGGAATACATTTGGAGATGTCTCAGACATAATTAGAATGAGGGTCTCAGACTGGGAGGGAACTGCCATCAGTGAGGTGGATGTAGCCTGTCTATCACAACAATCTCATAACGGACCGTCACAATTAGAACAAAGCAGCAAAACCTGGTCCTCGGCTCCCATCTCCCAACGCTCTTTCATTTCCTGTCCCACAGGAAATTGCATCAGTCAGCCGATTGCTTATTGGTAAGCAGCTTATTTAACTGTCATCTCCCTGGGTTTTCATTAAAGAGGAGGCTCATGCTGCCTTGTGTGGACTGACCGGTGCTTGCTCATTCTGCAGCACCTACCTGTAAACAGTGGGGTTGGTAGTGACTCTGAAGGGGCAGAAAGAGAGTATTCAAAATGGACAGCACCATTTTATTGAGTATAGCCAAAAAATCTCATTCAGTTTTGTTTGGACAATATATTAATTCAATTCAATTGCATAGCCACGTGTGCATATGTAAATTGTATGTGAAGATGCATCTGCACGCACAGTGAGGCGAATACTTTTGGAGGATGGCCTGGTGTCAAGAAGGGCAGCAAAGAAGCCACTTCTCTCCAAGAAAAACATCAGGGACAGACTGATATTCTGCTAAAGGTACAGGGATTGGACTGCTGAGGACTGGGGTAAAGTCATTTTCTCTGATTGTTTGGGGCATCCGGAAAACAGCTTGTCCGGAGAAGACAAGGTGAGCGCTACCATCAGTCCTGTGTCATGCCAACAGTAAAGCATCCTGAGACCATTCATGTGTGGGGTTGCTTCTCAGCCAAGGGAGTGGGCTCACTCACAATTTTGCCGAAGAACACAGCCATGAATAAAGAATGGTACCAACACCTCCTCCGAGAGCAACTTCTCCTAACTATCCAAGAACAGTTTGGTGACGACCAATGCCTTTTCCAGCATGATGGAGCACCTTGCCATAAGGCAAAAGTGATAACTAAGTGGCTTGGGGAACAAAACATCGACATTTTGGGTCCATGGCCAGGAAACTCCCCAGACCTAAATCCCATTGAGAACTTGTGGTCGATCCTCAAGAGGCAGGTGGACAAACAAAAACCCACAAATTCTGACAAACTCCAAGCATTGGTTATGCAAGAATGGGCTGCCATCAGTCAGAATGACAGCATGCCAGGGCGGATTGCAGAGGTCTTGAAAAAGAAGGGTCAACACTGCAAATATTGACTCTTTGCATAAACTTAATGTAATTGTCAATAAAAGCCTTTGACACTTATGGAATGCTTGTAATTATACTTCAGTATACCATAGTAACATCTGACAAAAATATCTCATAACACTGAAGCAGCGAACTTTGTGAAGCCCAATACTTGTGTCATTCTCAAAACTTTTGACCACGACTGTACTTTGCTTTTGTGGCACAGTCGATGCCACACAGGGCTACGGGCCAGAAGGTTGAGAGTTCGCGGACGACCACAGAGGAGCTCACTCTCCCTGCCTGTTTCAGTACTTCATGATCAGAGCCAGTTGCAGACAATGATCAACTAGGGGAAAATCAGATTTTCAACATTTTTATGCCATATTTATAATTACATAAAATATATACAATTAATTTTCTACCAACAGGTTTCTGTGCCAATGCACCACACAACCAATAAACAAAATATACCGACATGGTTTGCATTTTCAACACCACAAGAAATAGACTTAGTCAATCTCGACAAACAGAAATCACATTCCTCCCTACCTTCTAGGTTTACCCAGTATCGAAGGCTTGGCATGACAATCTCAGAATGTCATTAAACCTTTTGGTGTTTTGTAACAGATGTCTCTTTCCATTCATCAAATTGCCTCTGCACGGTTTAAAAAAGTAGGTAGTCACCTGGAATGCGTTTCAATTAACAGGTGTGCCTTCTTAAAAGTTAATTTGTGGAATTTATTTCCTTCGTTATGCGTTTGAGCCAATCAGTTGTGTTGTGACAAGGTGGGGGGGTGGGTATACAGAAGACAGCCCTATTTGGAAAAAGACCAAGTCCATATTATGGCAAGAACAGCTCAAGTAGGCAAAGAGAAACAACAGTCCATCATTACTTTAAGACATGAAGGTCAGTCCATGCAGAACATTTCAAGATCTTAGAAAGTTTCTTCAAGTGCAGTCGCAAAAACCATCAAGCGCTATGATGAAACTGGCTCTCATGAGGACCGCCACAGGAATGGATGACCCAGAGTTACCTGCAGAGGATAAGTTAATTAGAGTTACCAGCCTCAGAAATTGCAGCCCAAATAAATGCTTCACAGAGTTGAAGTAACAGACACATCACAACGTCAACTGTTCAGAGGAGACTGTGTGAATCAGGCCTCCATGGTCGAATTGCTGCAAAGAAACGACTACAAAAGGACACCAATAAGAAGAAGAGACTTGCTTACTCCAAGAAACACGAGCAATGGACATTGGACTGGTGGAAATGTGTCATTTGGTCTGGAGTCCAAATTTGAGATTTTTGGTTCCAACCGCCGTGTCTTTGTGAGACGCGGTGTGGGTGAACAGATGTTCTCCGCATGTGTATTTCCCACCGTAAGGCATGGAGGAGGTGTTATGGTGTGGGGATGCCTTGCTGGTGACACTGTCTATGAATTATTTAGAATTCAAGGCACACTTAACCAGCATGGCTACCACAGCATTCTGCAGCGATACGCCATCCCATCTGGTTTGGGCTTAGTGGGACTATCATTTGTTTTTCAACAGGGCAATGACCCAACACACCTCCAGGCTGTGTAAGGGCTATTT